GTGGAAGCAGATTTTCATTGTTAATTGTGTACATTGTGTCTGCTTCCTGCAGACGTTGTGCTAGCAGGGAGGAAACGAATGCATTTCAAAATCTGAGATATTTATAAAACTTCATTCTTTCTCAAAGATTCCGAACAGCAGCTCCATGTCCCTGTTCCTGCTCATGCACGACAGCAAATAATGGGATAAATCAGGGATTTTGGAACAAGGGGAAGCAAGAAAAAAAAAAAAAATGGAATTTTGGGAAGCTCCTGCTGTAATATTTACACTCGGTGTCTTTGCTATTGTTGGTTCCAGCCCACCACACGCTGCTTGGAACAAAATCTCAATTCTCACCCTGAAATCCTCACTCAGCTGTCACTCAGGGATGAGTCAGGAATGCATTATAGTAAAGCAAAAAATGGGAAACTTATCACACAGAAAATGATATTTATTTATTTATTCAGAATATTTATATTATATCATATTTATTCAGAGCTTACAAATTTATTCAGAACTTACAAAATTATGAAGAATAATGAGATTGAAGTGCAACTTACAAGCAGCTTTTCATTCCATGTGTGTTGGTGAGTGTGTGGAATCCTCATCTTGGGAGACGATGCTTTCTTTCAATTTATTATTTAAAAAACCCTTTTCATTGCAGCAGTGGCCCTGTGAAAGGCTGTGTTTCGGCTACAACCACGATTTCAGGGATATTTAACATTAATTTCCAGCAGGAGCATTTTCCTCTTGAGCACTGTTTGGTTCTGGAGCGCCGTGGCACAGAGTGGGAAGGCTTTAAAATCAGATTTTATAGCTGCAGGTCTCACGAGTTCTGGGCTTGTTCTGGGTAGATTTGGTGCACTGAAGTCCATAAAACCTCCAAGTGAAATGTGAGATGTGCTCAGCCCCTCTCTGAACTTTGACAGGCCCAGCCTGATCTGGTGCACGGAGGGAAATAAAAAAGTGACTGCTGAGAATCCTCAGATGAATTTTTATTTCATATCAGAGCAATTTGACGTGGAATTACAGCGATAAAAGCCTTGATTTGCCTCAGCTCTGCTGTTACCTCCATCCCTATTTTAATGTACATTTTACAGGCATATAAATGTTGTTCATTGTATTTTTATTTACAGGACGCTTCCAACAGCAACTTCCTCAAAAGCTCTTCAGAGCCAGA